GCCTTATGCATCATTGGTTGGCAGCCTTATGTATGCTCAAGTCTGCACAAGGCCTGATCTAGCTTTTCCTTTAAGTGTGTTAGGGAGGTTTCAATCGAATCCAGGACAGGCTCATTGGGTTGCAGGGAAGAAAATCATGAGATACCTGTAGAGAACAAAGGATTTTAAGATAGTTTACAAAAGGAATGAAAGCTTAGAATTGGTTGGTTATGCAGATGTTGACTTTGCAGGATGTGCAGATGACTTAAAGTCTACTTCAGGTTTTGTTTTTCTATTTGGAGGAGCTGCAGTTTCTTGGAAAAGTGTTAAGCAGTCTATTGTGACCACCTCAACTATGCAGGCAGAGTTCATAGCTTGTTATGAAGCAACATGTCAAGCACTTTGGCTGAAAAATTTTCTAACTAGCCTGAAAGTTTTGGGAACAATTGAGAAGCCTATACAGATTTGGAATGATAATAACTCAGCTATATTGTTTGCAAAAGGGAACAAAAGGTCAATTGGAGGGAAGCCTTTATCGCTAAAGTTCTTATCAGTGAAAGAGAAGATCAGTGAAGGAAGCATTGCTATGGATCATATTAATACAGAGTCTAATCTAGCAGATCCATTCAATAAAGGGCTACCAAATAATGTTTTCAAGAGGCATGTAACTGGTATGGGGTTGTTATCCAGTTTTGATGCTTAAAAACAGTGGGAGCAGCTTGTTAGTTTTCAAGAGAAAAAGGACATATCGGGAATTTGCAGATTTGTCGTCTGAGCTCCGATTGAGGTGCATGATACCTTTTTGAAAAGGGAATGACGCCACAAATCAGACTCAGTGCTTTGCACTGATGTAGGGTGTTTTTTGGCCATCTGAGGCTCGTTTAGCCTTCCAAAACCGCATTTAAAGAGTTGAAAGTTTTGATTTTGATGTTGTTTTGGTTATTTTGTTTGGTTAACTTGTTTTGCATAAACTTTTGGTTATTTGAATGCAATTAACAGTGAATGATTTGTTGCTAGCTTAAGGTTAACTGTTAAAGTATTGCATTCATAACAGTGATGTCTTTTACTTGGAGTAAAAGAAAGGATCTTGAACAATCCTATAAGTTGGACTAAAAGAATGATCATAGCAGTTATGTCAATTTGGTTAGCTATGATCATTCTGTGATTTCAGCAGCCCTATGTGACATTGGATTTGAAAACTGTAGTTGTAAAGACTTCATGGAAGTTTCTCTGCTCAGTCTTGATAACTCATTATCATCTTCATTGTTGACAAGTGGCTTGATGAGGAAACAAAATCGAACTGTATTCCACAAGGCCTTACAGTAATTGACATTGTTCTTTAGTGATTATTTGACCAAGTGGGAGAATGTAAGATTTGCATTCAAAACCCTAAGGTGGTCTTCTAATCATTTAAGGATAACTAGTTCAATGTCAATTAGGATTACATGGATCGATTAATTTTAAGGCTTGATATATGACTGTTTCAGATAAATACAAGTGCTTAAGGTTTCCTATTTCTAAATGGATTGAGATACCTAATCCTTTAGGTTAAAGGAGTTTAAGTAATCCATGATGAGGAGGATTCTTAAACTATGCCTATAAAAGGGAGGTCCCTATGCTAACGGCTATAACACATATTCTCATATCATTCTACCTCATCAAGAAGAGATTAAGGAGCTGTATAGCATAGAGAAACTACCCTACATAAAATCTGCCTAACCTGAGAACCAGAACCTGCTGTAGAGTTCCAGTGCAAGAAATCAAGTTTCCTGCTACAGTAATTCACACAATGTCGAATCAAGGTATGTGTTGTGAATATATAAACCTAGTAAAGTTTACAATTTGAAGTGTCAAAATCATTCCCAATCGGATATCATGATTGCCTTTTTGCTATGTTTTTCCAAGACAATGTATTTCTCATTGTATATTTTGGGATATAATTGGTAGTTTGATCACACATCACAAGCCTCCTCATGCACTTGCCTGCCTATTTAACTTTTCCTATCCAGTAGGTTGGGTAAGGAGAAAGGAAAAGAGGAAACAGGAAGGAGTCGAGGTAGGGGTAGTTTGGGAATAATGGAGAGTCAATGGAGAGTGAAACAGCGCCAGAAGAGGAAAACAAAAATCTCGAATTGGATCAGAATTGATAGAGTTCATAACACTTGGACTTGGGTCGGTGTACGGCGTCAAACTAGTACAAAGTTGGACACGTGTTATCCTGATCTATACCGCTAAGACAGGTCACCACGTAGAATTTTCTTACAAGATGAAATTGGGCTGCAGCCCAAGCTTGATGGGCTCCGATATTATGAATTAGGACCAAGGGAGAATTTTCTTGGAGAGGGAAATTATGCAGAGTTGGGAAATTAAGCATGGTTTATCAAATTACAGTAATGGCTACTTGTGAATTGAAAGGTATGCCAAATATGAAAAAGTCCAAGCTTTTGTTCGCCAAGCAAACATATTCTCTTGTGCGTGAATGTAGCAACCAAAAAGCCTCAAGTGAATAATTTTGACGCAGGCTGCTAAAGTTGCCCAGGCCTTTTAGCGACCTTCTACACTAGTACATGTAACATCATTCAAAGACTTAGCTCCTTCGGTACTGGTTGATGGGTCTCCAGCATCACAAGTTCTCTGTAACAAAAATGCAGGCTGTCTTGGTGAAGGAACTGCTGCATCATAATTCCCTAACATGAAAACAACTGCTGACATGGTTGGCCGGTCAGTGGCGTAGTCTTGCACACATGAGAGTGCAATTTTGATGCATCTCACAACTTCATTGACAGGGTACAATTCACCCAGGGATGGATCGACGATTTCCAAGACTTTACCTTCTCTCCACAAGTTCCAAACCTAAAATCGATTGTAGATAATCAAAGTAAGCATAAATAAGTAGGGGAAAAACTACATTGTTTTCCACATAGCCAGTAAACTTACATGTCCACCCAAATTAATTGCGTCGGGATACTTGTCGTGGCAATAACCAGAATTTTTTCTGCCAGTAACGATTTCTAGGAGTATAATTCCGAAACTATATACATCAGATTTCACTGAAAAATGTCCTTCCATTGCGTACTCTGGTGACATATAACCACTGCAGCAGAAAGAAAAGTGATTACGAAAGCATAGATTCACTTATCTACATTATATGTTGAAATTAGCCTATGAATTGTATGCTCTTGTGACATGCACTATCAAGTATTCCATCAGTTGGTGGTCTTGTGAATCTAGAAACTATAGTGATATATTATACATTTGGAGAATATTTTAACTTACTATGTTCCAACCACACGATTTGTATCCGCTTCACTTTGGTCTCCTCTAAATATTCTAGCCATACCAAAATCTGAAATTTTGGGGTTCATAGAAGCATCCAGTAGAACATTACTAGCCTTTAGATCTCTATGGATAATCCTTAACCTTGAATCTTGATGAAGATACAAGATCCCTCTCGCAATCCCATAGATGATCCCAAAGCGTACTGTCCAATCTAGAAGTGCTCTTTTTGTGTCATCTGGATGTTAAAAGTAAGGAAATAGACTAAATTCTTGCTTCCTTATTAGTTTTCAAGTGACAAAATTAGATATGAAAGCTAAAGGAAGACATACTGAAGATAAAAGAGTCCAAGCTTTTGTTTGGCACGTATTCATAGATTAACATCTTCTCTTCATCTTGAATGCAATAACCTAAAATCCTGACAAGGTTCCTGTGTTGGAGTTTTGCAATCAACACAATTTCATTCTTAAATTCCTCAATTCCTTGACCAGAATGTTTTGATAATCTTTTCACTGCCACTTCTTTTCCATTACAAAGCACACCCTGAAAATATAATCCACCCTTTAAAGTGCTCTTATGCATGCAATATTCACAAAAATTTGATTTCTAATTTGAGAAATTACTCAAAGACAACTACCTTATAGACTGAGCCAAAACCCCCCTTTCCAAGCTTGTTTGCAAGAGAGAAATTGTCAGTGGCCGCCGCTATGGTTGTTAGATCAAAGAATGGTATGTCTGAGTGCATACTACTTTCATCAAGTTCTGCGGTAGAATCTTCAAAGTAGGTTGACCTTGTGGTAACTCTAGGGGAATACTTATTTTGTCTTTGCTTACCTGCCATCAAATGCAGAACAAGTAATCTATCTAGCCTTTGTTTCATTAGCAAGCACAACTTGTATTGTATTTCTATGATCAGACTAAAGTGTGATTCATCTCTTGAAAGGAGAATTATTGATGTGGGTGATATCAGTGTAGAACAATTAGGTGACAAATGAATACTGAAAAGAAAATAAATTTGTATCAGATATTCACCTTTTCTTTTCCTCCTTACCAACCAATAAGAAATGGGAACTACAAGAAGAAGGAACACCAGAACAGAAACCAGGGAAATTGCCACTTTTCCCTTCTTGCTACGTGAACCATTTGACTTTGCATATTGAGCTTCAAGGGTTAAAAAAACACAAATAAAATCCAGCAAAATTTGAGATTAGTAAGATGGTGGAATTTTTTCAATAAAAGGACTAACTACACACTATAGTAATAGTGCATTATAATGAGATAAAAATAGAAGAACAAAGGGATAAACGAACTATGCCAACGAAGTCTAATCGAGTGAAAAATAATATTGACTTGTAAGGAAAAGGAGATGAACCAACTACCTAACACAATTGCATCAACTCGTACATACAAATCTTGGCCATCATTTGGAAATGTTCTCGTGTCCATCAAGTCCCCATGCCATGTCACGCATCCAAACCCTCCCCATCTCTCGTCTGCTTTTGCATACGCCTTGCAAGAACAATTTCTCAAGCACTCCTGCGGGCATGCTTTCCAACTCAAATTCATGTTCACAAGTGCCTTAGACGAGTCGGGTACCTTCACACGTTCGACCTTCACGAACCCATCCCCGTTTCCACATATGGATACTCCGCTTTTCCTCACACACCCACCCAACCCATCTCTCAAATACCAATCACGTGGCGACTGGGGTTCGTATCCGGGTAGGCACGTGCACTCGAACTTACCCATATTGGACGGGTCACAATTGCTATTGGCACCACAATTCCCATATTCATCACACAAGTCTTCTGGGGCAGACCAATACTTGATCCATTGTTGCCTTTGATCACTCCACGTGGACCGTACAATGGTTCCTGATTCATCAAGCACTATCCTCGAGAAGATTGATTCATTTGTGATACGATACACCATGGATATCTCATCTTGATTGTTTACAAAACTAACGTTGAAGATGAATTTATTTGTCATAAGGGGCATACCGCTCCATCTCTCTCCGGTCCACGACCCACCCCGCCAGCGCGGAGCTTGACCCTTGTATAAAAAGGGTTGTGGAAACCCACTTGGGTCGATCTGAAGTGAATAGATACCGATTCCTGGATCATCTTGAGATTTCCATGATGTAAGGAACCAATTCAACTTGGACCGCCGGTCCAGCCCAAGTTTCATAAATGGAAGCAATGTATTTGTGGGATGATCAAAGCCTTGCCACAATACCCTTTGGCTAAAACCATTGTCCTCCTCAAGCAAAACAAGATTTCCTGTATCCAAAAGCTTAGCTGTCATGGAATTGTTTGGCGAAGAGACTGAAACATTAGCAGACCAAAGAGGGGTATTTTGGTCCTTCCCATAGATGACCAGGCCTCCGTTTCCATGAACAGCTAGAAGTCCAACTCCAGAGGCATTATTATCAGTGACAGGAATTATGGGATTGTCGCTGTTTGCAACCCAGACAATGGTTTGGTTTGGAACTTTGTTGTACCAAACTCCAACATACCGGTTACGAGAATTGGCCGGGCTGAAAAACCCAAGTGCAAAGATTTTATTACTAGAGAGAAGAACATCGCCATCTCTCATGGGTTGGTTTGGCTTTATAGAGCCAATGGCAATGGAAGTGGAAGAGGGGAGGATTGGAAGGAAGTTGAGCAATATAATATTCATGGCAAACCATTTAGTAGTAGAATTCATGGCTAACTTTCTCAATGAGTCATGCAATTCAGTGCTAAAGGAAGAAACATAGTTGGATTCTTTTTAAATTAGAGGCCAGCCCCACTCGTAGAAAATGTTTCACCTATCTCAGTCAGATAACAAATACTAAGGGACTTTCAGGTTTAGTTGTTGATATGCGAGGGAGTTATAGACGTGTGGATGACATTTTTCCCCAGGTCACGCAACTCTTGATATTTTTGAAGTCTTAAATGTTAAGGTCTTTACTCAGAGCCTCTTTTGTCTTTATTCAATGAATATCTGGCTGCGAGAGAGGACTGTATAACGCATTAGAAAACGATTCCTCATGTTGTTCAAACTTTGAAATTTCTTTGACAATCTCATACTTGAATGATTCTTAAATCTCTTAACGGAATTGACAGAGTATAGTATTATTACCGGACAAAGAAGTCCACCATATCAGCTTTACAATATTGTTTATGTTAATGTCATACTCTATAAAATGAATTGAAAATTACATAGAATTCTTAAATGATGGAATTTATATTTCCATCATTTCATTTTTTGGCAATTGAAGATTTAAGTGTTTGGATTTATGTATGTCTAATTTTCTAAATAACAACATTTTGTAAATTAAACTATGAAAATTGTGAAATGACGTATATTTTTGTGGAAATTAAATTCGGGAATTTGATGCCCCCAATCTCCACGACTTTTTCCTCACGTTATTTAATCAATTCCGTGCTTAAGTTGCCAAATAAAGGAATTGTCAATTTCTCCTATTAAATTATCGACTATCAGTTAAATTCCAATTTATTTTCCCTCATCTAAACGGAGGGTGAACTAATTTAATTGAGTCAATTTAAAGGAACATTACAAAATAAGTTTGTGAGCTAAATAAATCTATATAATTACTCAGTTAGATATAACGAAAAACTTTTAGCTGCCAAATATAGTAAGTGACACTTGCCAACTCGGGTCTCGTCAATGCCGGGAGCTGAAATCTCCGACACTGATCAATATCATCCACTACTTCGATCGTTCCAGGGCAACCTCTTACGATAGGCCAACATGCCAAACATAATAAAACAATTGTCAAGCCCAAATCCAAATGTTTTGAAACCAATCTACAGTTATAAGATACAATTGGCTGAATGTTTACTAATACACCCACTTACTCAGAAAGATCCTTTGGACTAGTTGATGTTTAATGTCTTATCAATCGGCATTTGTTGGATTGGCTCAGATTTTGGGTATGCTCTCAAGTGATCCTAGTTTCGAGCCCCATGGTACCCAAATTTCCCCTACCCCTTTCTAGTCTTCCTTTTCTGGTTTGAAAGTGACCTGAGATAAGGGATACAGTAAATGATTTAGTGGTGACACTTAACTAAATAATTAACAATGGGGTAAGTAGCTTTGTCAAATTAGATTGACATAAAAATATAAATAAATTAAACTAAAAAAAAAAAGCATTGTAGAATGAGATCAATCCATCTTTGGCCCACCAAAAAATATAATTTGTAAACGTTTATGTAAAATGTATAGCATTGGTTGGGCTGGTCAAATTTAGGAACAATGATGCGGGATGGGGTTGCAAATGGAGAATTGTATTTGTACATATTTCGTGTCCAATCATATGCAAACAATAATTCCAAGTCCAATAAGTTTGAATGATGTAAGCAGACATATGGACCTCCTCCCCACATTATATTGTGTATCATTATTATGATGAAGATGAACTAGTAGCTTCTTTTATATATGTATACAATCCTCTTTTATTGAGTGATTTTTTATAAAGATAATCTTTGAATAAGTATTTATAAAATAGACGTTTTGGATTAGTGAAATACAATACGGAGTGGGCCCTACAAAAATGTCTCTCAAATAAGCTTATTTAAGAGATCCCTCAACTGAAGCTTCTTATATATATATATATACTAGCCTCTTTGCA